TTACTGAAAAAATCTTAAATCTTCAAATTATTAGCTAAACTAATATTTAATTTAGCTTTCTACTTATTGATTACTTGAATGGATTTTTAATGGCGCACGATTTTTTTTATTAAACATTTTTTTTTTGTAAAGTGCAACCTTCTTTTCACGTCTATTAGATTTTTACTGCTACCCACACATGGATGGAACCAGAAATTCTTGAGGATGGATCGTCTATGGCGGTAGCATTTGTGAATGAGACAAACGAAGCCTTTTCTGTAGAGTTTAAAATCAAATCGTTCCTGGAGTGTCAACTTAATGGTTTATTTGGGTATACCGGGTTACCAACTTATCTAAGGAGAAATATTGCAGTAAAAACTAAAGGCGCAAGAAAAGTTTTACAGAAAGTGCCAGATGATTTGCCCGTGTCTTTCTCCGACTCTATACTTCAAATAACAGTTTATAATACAAAATATCCAACAGATGGGTATTTGGATCCTTTAGTGTTGACATTAAGTTGTCAAGGTAACTTTTAAATTAGTTTTTTTGTCTTCTTTTTTACTTTATGTATTGAAAATCATGCTTTGGTTTAATATATATGTGTTATTCAATAAAGGTATAAGCTGGAACAAACAAGTGATACCTTTGTAATTCTTTTTCTTAAGATGATGTTGCAAGGCGAAAACGGAGAGATTTAAGTAAGTTTCTTTTCATAAGAAATTAAAACCATATGGTTGTTTCATGTAAAAAAAATTCCTTATATGCTTGAATTACAAAAAATTATTTTGTCAAGAAATCAATATTCCATTGGGAAAACAAACACATTAACACACCCTTTACTTCAAATTTAGACACAAAAGTTTAAGCAAAAGTAAAAGTTTTTTTTAAAGTAAACTTTCATAAACTAAACAACCAAGAAAAAAGCTCCCGTTGATCATAAACAGCAGTTAAGAATTTCAAACTAATACTCAACTGTTTATTACTAAGCTGCCAACATGGGACACTTATATCGGGTTCAAATTTTGAGTGTGGTTAACCTTGTTGGTGTGCTTTGGAAGAAATCAACTGCATCAAAGGTATTTTTACGCGTTAACATGACGCCTTTAATACAAACTGTGTTCTGTGGGAAGAGGGATGTTTTTTTTGTAGATTATATTAATATTTTTTTTGTTTTGTAGATTGTTAAGGCAGAAGGGAATGTAGCTGTTTTCAGAAGCACTTTTTTCGGAACGTTTGGGTCGGATGCTCTGCTCTCGCCACCTACCCCAATCAATTTCCAAGAAATATTCCTCAACTTTCTGGAAAAATTAGAATCCACTCCGCAAGTGCTCGCTGCTGAGGTCTTCTTGATAATTTTTTTCATTGTTATTGTTATACCGTTACGTAAAGCAGACCAAAATGACATTATGCTGGTGAGTTAATTTCTAGCCAAACAACTAATTCAAACTGACATCAATTTCATACTCGTATCCTAAAATCGGTTTAATTGCTTGATGCTTTGAGTTAGGTAATCGATTAAAACCTGTTTTTTTTAAAGATCAATGTATTCAGTTAAATATTAAACCCCCAACCTCTCTCTCTCTCTCTCTCTCAATCTGTACATCTAGAAGTTTGACCGAATGTCGAGTTTTTGGAACAATTTTTGAAAGCAATTTGAAAAACAAATCATTTTAAAAACTTTTGCTTCGTTTTTTCCTCTATTTTAGCCATTTTTTGCTATCTTTTGAAGAGTTAGTTTTCTTAAGTACATGTACATTCAACACGACAATTTTAATTATTATAGTCTTCAAATCAAAGCCCTGTAAAATGATGCATAAAACACAATCATTTATTTGCAAGAAAATCAATCTAGACTGAAGAAGTTTGAATTCACATAAAAACAATATTTTGTTGAGGATCCTTTTGGAAATATGTATAATTTGAGCCATGATTAAAGTGGAAGTTTTGAAACAAAATCGGCTAAAGGAGTAAACTTAAAGCGTAAATGTCGCATTTCCCGATTTCTTTACAATTTAGGAAATTTTTATTACAACCCTTAGTCCGTGAACATTTTTAAAAGATGTGCCTTTAGGTCGATCCATGAATGCAGACCTAGATAAAGGCACAGATGCATGTTTTTATTATTATTAGAGTTCAGTATTGTACTGACAAGTACAAAGAAAGGTAACTGTCATAGGAATGTTTTGACAAACGTTCATAAACATTAGAACCTCAAGTCATTTTTTTTAATGAAAAGGAATTTGTTCATTATACAGTGGGAGTACTTACCAGTACTTGATAATCAGCCTGATGATAAATTTCAATACTGTTTGTCAATATTTACTGCAATAAAATCATCGAGACACCTGACGTGTACAGTTTACCTGAAAATAACTGGAGAAAACGGATCAACAAGTGAAAGAATTGTTAAAACAAATTCTAGAGAGGTATCTTTAATATTCAAATTCTGAACCGTAAGATACGGGAATTTATGTTGATTCAACAGATTTGTTTTGATATAAAGTAAAGCATAGAATTATGTTCAAAATTTTGATGAAAACTCATATTCTAACCATTCTTTTCCTTATTTCTTACAATTTTCAGGACTTTCAAAGTGGCACATGTTGTAATTTTCTTTTAACAACTGAAGAACATCTGGGAAAATTGGAATCCTTAACAGTATGGCATGATAACAAGGGGAAAAGTCCTGATTGGAAATTGTCAAAAGTTGTGGTTATTGATCTATACACCAAAGAGCGGTATTTTCTATGAAATTATATTAAATGAAATTCTGAAACAAGTTCCATTCTAAAAATAAATCAAAGCCCTTGGAATTTTGAATCCTTATTTTAGTAATCGACAAAAACCTGTAATCCATCCAATTCGGACTAACATCGATTTAATATGTTTTTTTTCTTATAGTTTTCTGTTTCTATGTGGAGAATGGCTATCCATGAAATACGACGGTGTAAAAACTTTTCGAACACTTGTCCCGATAACACCGGAAATGATTAATGGTGAAGTGGTTTTCACTGAATTAAGTTTACGCGGTTTCTTTGATGACCACCTTTGGATTTCACTGTCAAAACGACCAAATTATAGTAGATTTTCCAGGGTTCAAAGACTTTGGAGCTTGGTTGCCTTATTGTTTTTGTCCATGGTTGCATCTGCTATGTGGTATAACTCTGAACCCACCGAAGAGGAGCAGTTAGCTAGTGGGAATGCCCAACAGTCTGTCGAATTGGGGCCTGTCAGATTTAACTTAAAACAGATTTATGTTGGATTAATGTCGTCCTTGATCACGGTTATACCCTCTGTCATAATTATTTCATTGTTTCGTAATAGAAGCTTAAAAAGTGAAAGTAAAACAACAAAAACAGAAAACATGGTCTACAAAGAAAAGAAGCATTATCGGTGTAGACTGCCTTGGTGGACTATATTTATTGCATATTTTATTATATTCTCTGCCATTGCTGCGGGTGGTTTCTTCACATTCCTCTATTCTCTGCAGTTCGGGTCGGAGAAGACGAATGATTGGCTATTATCATTTGTGTTTGGAACATTTGAGGGTGCGTTCATGATGGAACCACTTAAGGTATGAAAAGGAGATATTAGATTATATTTATACATGTAACTTCTTAGAATAGAAAATTAATTAAATGAATGTTACCTGTTATACATAGTCTGATCATTATTCCCCGTAGGATTGACTTATTTGAGCCAATTTTTTTCACAGATTGTGCTTTAATTAATAACACGCTTGTCACTTTTCGTCAGATTGTTTCGTTTGACTCAAGTCTTATTATGACCGACAATGATTTTGAACAGAAATATGTTTATGTCAAAATTACAAGAGTAGATGTAACCCATAAAATAGGAAAGTGTACAAACAAGCAGAGAAAGCTTTGAAATTTACTACAAGAATGTTACTCACAAAAATCAATCTTAACAGAACAAGTGGGTGAGCAAAAAATGCTTTTTTGTCGACATTCAAGTGAGAAAAAAGTATTCTTATGTTAGTTTATTTTCACTCCATTATTTTTTAAACCTTATACTCAAAGTATGAGTGAAAAAAAACACTCTTCTGTGAGAAAAAAAAAAACAACATTGGACAAAGAACAACTCTACATTAAAAAATTAATAAACTTTTATGATGTAACAACCCTATAAAAATCTTATCCATTTACATGCATTCCAAGTGTGATATATCACAATCGGTAATTAAATGCCAGTATTTGTTTTAAGTCCTACAGTACCGTGCTTAGCATGTTACTCTAAAAGGAAAACTTTAAGACAATTACATACTAATGATTTTCTTTATTGTTCTGATCTTAGTACCAAGAATATGACTTCAAAATATTAAATAAATAAATGATTTCTGTATAGAGAAATTTCCATACGAAAGAGTCAAGAGGTAACAATTTCACACCTTAAATTTAAAAGAACGTTTACCTGAAGTACAACAATCGAAAAACTGAAGATGCCTTCACTATGTGCATCCAAGTCTCTGTTTGTCCATATCAGAAAATTCTTAAAAAAAAAAAACAAAAAAAAAAAACAAAAAAAAACTAGGGCTAATTGTAACGGGAACCGTTACAGATGTTCCCCAAACGCTCCCCAACTCCCTTTTGGTGCCATACTCCCTTTAAGCTTCATTAAAAACGACAAACTCTTTGCATTTTACACTTTAACAACGTTTCCCTGAAGTATACCAAGTATATTCAAATTTTAGCATTTGCACGCGTGCACATGTAAATGCATGTGCGTAATGACCATATTCTCTTGTCTACACTATCTATATACATTAATATAATAAAATAATAAAGCATTTAATCCAAAAGTATTAAAAAATACGCTTCATCAAGTGTAATTTTGATTTTACTCATCTCACGTGCATGCATGTGCATGATGACCTTACCTTTTTGTAGGAATCCACTATGTCTATCTATGTTCTAAATCCCATCCTGTTTGGTTGAAAATCAAAGGAGTTATACCCATTTAAAGTTTAAGCCAATCAGATTGCAGCGCACGTGCATGCGCGTGTTTTCATGATACCTGCTATATATAATATTGTAGTATATTCTAATGCATGACTATGTTTAAAATTTCAAAGCATTTCGTCAAAAAACAAAAGAGATATTGAAATCTTTGTTTCAACCAATCAGAGGGAAGCGCACGTGCATGCACGTGAGTTCGTGCTAATTTGACCATGTCATATTATCTAGACTATTAATATATCCTTATAGAATGAGTTTCAAAGCATTTCAATAAAAAAATGTAAAAGTTATGGCTATAATAAGTATATCAGTCATTTCACTCATTTCACGCGCACGCACGTGCATGCGTATGCGCGCAAAATGACCTTCGTTGTGCACACCTACACTTGACACCTATTAACCCTAAAAAGGTTTTAACTTAGTTGGGTGAACAGTTTCTGAGAACACTCGCGGACAAAAAAAGTACCGGAGAACAAAGAAGAAAAAAAAGAATAATAATAATAATAACTAGTGCTAATTGTAACGGGAACCGTTACAGATGTTCCCCAAACGCTCCCCAACTCCCTTTTGGTGCCACATTCCCTGTAAGCTTCATTAAATAAGACAAACACTGTGCATTTTCGACTTTAACAACGTTTCCCCAGAAGGATACCAATTATATTCAAATTTTAGCATTGCATCCGTGCACATGTGAATGCATGTGCGTTATGACCATATCATCTTGTCTACACTATCTATATATTTTAATATACAATATATGAAAGCATTTAGTCCAAACGTATTTAAAATCACTCATTCAAGTGTATTATTAACTTCACTCGTTCTAAATGCACGCACGTGCGTGCACGTGCATGATGACCATACCTTCTTCTGGAAGTCCCTTATATCTATCTGTATTCTAAATCCCATCCTGTTTGTTTGAAAAACAAGGGAGTTACAGCCATCTCAAATTTCAGCCAATCAGATTGCAGCACACGTGCATGCGCGTGATTTCATGATTTTTTTCTATATCATATTGTAGGACATCCTAATGAAGGACTATGTTTTAAATTTCAAAACATTTCGCCAAAAAGCAAAGGAGATATAGCCATTTAAAGTTTCAGCCAATCAGACTGCAGCACACGTGCATGCGCGTGATTTCTTGAAATTTTTTGTATATCATATTGCAGGATATCCTAATGCATGACTATATTTTAAATTTCAAAGCATTTCGTCGAAAAACAAAGGAGATAAAGCCATTTAAAGTTTCAGCCAATCAGATTGTAGCGCATGCGCATGCACGTGATTTCATGAAACTTTTTATATATCATATTGTAGGATATCCTAATGCATGACTATATTTTGAATTTCAAAGCATTTCGTCAAAAAACAAAAGAGATATTGAGATTTTTGTTTCAGCCAATCAGATTTCAGCGCACGTGCATGCACGTGAGTTCGTGCTAATTTGACAGTGTCATATTATCTACACTATTAATATATCTTTATATAATGAGTTTCAAAACATTTGTTCAAAATGTAAAAGTAATAGCTATATTAAGTATATCAGTCAATTCACTCATTTCACGCGCACGCACGTGCATGCGTATGCGCGCAAAATGAACTTCGTTCCGCACACCTACACTACACACCTATTAACCCTAAAAAGGATTTAGCTCAGTTGGGTGAACAGTTTCTGAGAACACTCGCGGACAAAAAAGTCCGGAGAAGAAATAAGAAGAAAAAAGAATAATAGTAAGAAACAGAGTAAAAACAATATGTTCCCAAACTTCGTTTGGGGAACATAATAATAAGAAACCGAGTAAAAACAATATGTTCCCAAACTCCGTTTGGGGAACATAAAAACAAAAAAACAACTATCCTATTATCCTTGCCGTAATTGCAAATGCATCATTTAAGAATTAAGCAAAAAAGTAGAAAATAGCAGAAAAAAGTCGATAGGCAAGAATAAAAATACTGACATCAAGTGATATGAAATCGTAATATATTTGTTTGATATAATGACATCAATATAATGGATTTAAATAAAATCATAAAGCAAATGCAAATTCAAACAAAACTTCCTTATATGTATCATCAGGTTTTGCTCCTCGCATCTATACTTGGATTGTGCTGCAAAAGTTCCACAGACACATTTTTGGAGTGCGCTGGAGAAACTCACGTTCATAAAGGTGTGAATTTAATATTTTCCAGCGATATTGAATAATATGTTGATCAATTCATATGTAGTTTAATGTTTTCTCTGTTTTTTTAAATTTTCACATGTTTTAACTCATGTATTTCTCTAATTGCAGTAGCTTATGTTGATACAATGCAACGACAAGATTTGATCTACTTTCCTTGCCCAAACACAGAACCTGATATAGAAAAACTGAACAAACAACGAAAAGTAATTCAGCTGGATAAAAAACTTAAAAGCTTTGGTTTATCCTGGATAAAGAGTACTTTGTATATTCTACTGCTCGCAATTGTGTGTGCACACAATACTATAACAGAGGCCTTCAGACAGAACGAATATTTGAAAGGATCGGTCAAAGATACATTTTTGGTGAGATTACTAATTTTAAGGTAGTACACAATAGATAGCCAAATTTTTCCTCAAATTCATTTTTAGCTCACCTGCGCCGAAGGCTCAAGTGAGCTTTTCTGATCACATTTTGTTCGGCGTCCGTTTTTCTGTCTGTCTGTCTGTAAACTTTTCACATTTTCGACTTCTTTTCAAGAACCGCTGGGCCAATTTGAACCAAACTTGCCACAAGGCATCCTTGGGTAAAGGGGATTCAAGTTTGTTCAAATGAAGGGCCATGCCCTCATTCAAGGGGAGATAATTGGGAATTAATGAAAATTTGGTGGGATGTTTAAAAATCTTCTTCTCAAGAACCACTGTGCCAGGAAAAATGAAACTTATGGGGAAGCATTCTAAGCTAGTGTAGATTCCAGTTTCTACAAATCATGACCCCCCGGGGGTCGGGCGGGGCCACAATGGCCGACCAAAATTTACATAGATATATATGGGAAAATTCTTTAAAAATCTTCTTCTCAAGAATAGCAAAGGCATAATTGATCATATTTATGTGGAAGCATCCTCAGGTAGTGTAGATTCAAGTTTGTTCAAATCATGACCCCCGGGGGTAGGGCGGGGCTACCATGGCCGACCAAAGTTTTACATAGAAATATATAGGAAAATTCTTTAAAAATCTTCTTCTCAAGAATAGCAAAGCCATAATTCATCATATTTATATGGCAGCATTCTCAGGTAGTGTATATTCAAGTTTGTTCAAATCATGATCCCCGGGGGTTGGGCAGGGCCACAATGGCCGACCAAAGTTTTACATAGAAATATATAGGAAATTCTTTAAAAATCTTTTCGCGAATAGCAAAGCCATAATTGATGATATTTATATGGAAGCATCCTCTCGTAGTGTAGATTCAAGTTTATTCAAATCATGACCCTCGGGTGTAGGGGGGCCCAAAATGGCCGACCAAAGTTTAACATAGAAATAAAAACCAGAAGTCTCTGTCGAGACTGTAGCTCTACTGGTTTATACTTAAAACAAAGAAAGAGAAAAGTAGCAGTTGGGACTTGAAACTTTAAAACAGCAATAAATAGAAAAATGATCCTTGCCGCTCAACAAAATAAAAACCGATGCACCTAATTATGTATCTTAGTGTAGTCTACTTGTGTGCCAAGTTATACTGAAATCGGACCAAAACTGTAGAAGGAGTAGCATTTTGAAAGCATTTCACAGAAATTTCTATTTTTAGTAACCATGGCAACACCGTTCATCGAAATCAAAAACCGATGCACAGAATTATGCATCTTAGTGTAGTCTACTTGTGTGCCAAGTTATATTGAAATCGGGCCAAAACTGTAGGAGGAGTAGCATTTTGAAAGCAATTCATAGAAATTTCTATTTTTAGTAACCGTAGCAACACCGTTCATCGAAACACAGGGGCTTGCTCCTGGCGTGTAAAAAATATTTATAAAAAAACATAAACGATATACTATAAACTACACAAGGGAGGACGCCATCTTGGACCCCTTCCTCGCTTCAACCCCTATTTCTCTTTTAAATTCAAATATTCCGCTCACTCACCGCCTCAATTGTTTCAAGTAGTCCTTCTTCGAAGTCCTCAGCCATAAATTTCCCCCCAACAACCTCTTACATACATAATTTAAACGATTAATGAGCCGTAACCGCCGAATAGGACAGTTGGTATGGACAGCAACCGAAAGTAGGATGGCCTCGATTTCGCGCAGCCGTTCGGAACTCTCGGAACTCTCCATATAAATAAAGATAACTCCGTAATACTTCCGAATAAATTTCCCGCAATATTCTTGGCAATTTAATGTAAACAACTAAACATGGATGAAAATCAAATCAAAACGCTTAATATAGCTTTATCTGGCCACAACATTTTAATAACCGGACAGCCTGGAAGTGGGAAAAGCTATCTTATCTCTAATATAGCTAAAGAACTGAAAAATCATGGAAAAATAGTAAAAGTATCTGCCAGCACTGGGGTGGCCTCAGCTAATTTACAGCAACAAATAGGCCTTAACGAAAATGTGTCAACTTTGCATAAATTTATGGGAATAAAGGCCGGTATACACGATGAGATTTGTAATATAATACAAGTATTATAATACTTTTGTATTATAATACTTTCTTGTACACACGCTAATACATATCTTATAAGATTGTAAATAAAATATTATTCCCACGTGTTTTCTCCTGTCATATTTCTCTCTCTGTCAAAATAATAAAATGATAATAATAAGCTCTGCTTCTAGCATCTCTTTTGTGGTAGCTACAGTTTGATATATTCCACCAGTCCTCTTCCACTTCCCATAAAACCGCGAGTTTTTCGATACCTTTACTCGAAAAGTCGGCCATTATTATTTACCATGTGCTTTATTTAGTAATAATATAAATAGGATGACCCCCAATGTGAGTACATTTGATTGGTTGAAAGTGAAAGGTGAGTTAAGACTTGTATTAGGAAATAGAACATTGCTCTATTCTTAATACAATCTTATAAGATTCGAAAAATCTTATGATACACTGTATTAAGAGTGTATACACAGTAAGATTTTGTATTATAATACAAATCTTATAATACAAATCTTACCGTGTATACCGGCCTTAAGAGATGGGCGTTATGACAACGATCAGGCTTTGAATTTATTACTTTGTAATGAAAATATGAAAGAGACACTTGATGAGATATTGAAGACAGACTGTCTCATAATAGATGAGATATCAATGATAAGCCGAAAAACTTTGCAGCAAGTGGAATTTTTAAGAAAACTTAAAAGAAACACACGTTTTGGGGGGAACTCAGATAATCCTTTGTGGTGATTTTCTACAGCTACCATGTATTCCCAATCCCCATTACAATGATGATGGAAAACATTGTTTTCATTTTGAAGGAATACAAAATTTTCACCATATCCAATTACATGAAATCCATCGACTAGAGGAGCCTGATTTTATCAGAACAATTCATGATGTAGCCCAGTAAGATATTTTTTGTTCATTAATTAGAATATGTTCTGAAAAAAGCAAACTTTTATGGTTTTTTAAAAAAAATTCTGTTTTAAAATTAATACAGAAAAAAAATCAATTTAAGTTTAATAGGAGCTCGTCGATGCAACTCTTCTTATACTTTCAGGGGATGTTTATCTGAGGAGTCACATAATTTAATTGGGCGACTTAAAAGAAATTTACCCCCTGGTCCTGAACCTGTGAGGTTGTATGCTGAAAATCTTGACGTGGAGATTTGGAACTCTGAAAAATTGCTTGAGGCAGAAGGTAATTTGCTAAATAAATATAAACACAATAAATGTTCATGTATATTATTAGACATTTCCTATCAATTCATATTTCTAAAAGCTAATTAAAATGTTTAAGATGTAAACTTAAAACATATTAAGATTGATTTTATGATCACAACTGTTCACTTCAGTATATTATAATGGCTAGATTGGCTCAACTAAATTCTGATGGTTTTTGGTCTTTTTGTTGAAACTTTAGAATCCGATGAGTAGGGGTCAGTTAACAGTTGTCCAGCATTTAATTTCCTTGCTCTGCAGGTTGATGACTGTGAAAGTATGATATTGTTGATTGTACTGCAGTAATTATAATAATTTGGATTAGAGTTATTTCCATTAAATAATCCTCTCTGCTGACAGAAAACATTTTCAGCAATGTCTGAGTTGAATCTTGCAGGTACTATTTCTGCCCCTTTGAATTGTTCTAAATGAACTCTACAAATGTAAAAGATTTTCAATGTCATCTAGGCATTTACTACTTGGCAGCATTTTGTTTGCAATTTTCGCAGGGAGTTGCTGGTATTGAGACCGCCATTGCTGAAACCACTGAAGCACAGATTGTAAATCAGAGAGTCTTGAATCATTAATGCTGTTGATGGGTCTTGGGTCTCGGAAGATTCTTACAAGTGTGGATGACTGTTCTAGCAGGACGATTGTGCCTTTCAATATGTCTCTGTTGTGTAAACTATCTTGGTACTGCTTCATCAAGTGAAGCATATCTTCATTTAAGACTTCATCAGCCAAATGGTTCCTCATTTTTTCAGTAGAATCAGGATGAATATGAGTTGAAGTAAGTTTGTAATGTACCTTCCTTGAATTTGTTTTTTCATCCCACTTGTATGCGTCAATCCAGTGATCCCAGACAATGTAGGACTCTTCTATTTGTAGAAGTCGTTTCGAATACTTATGGTTTCCACTACTTAACAGGGAATTCCGCAGCTTTTTCATATTGTGTGAAAAATCTTGACAGCGGGCAATTTTTTTTCCAGGACAAACTAGATGATCAGAGAGGAATAATTCCTTATTTGGATTACCACTGAAATGAATTTTAGTAAATTCCCTATTTTGACCACCACCATCCTGCATAATATAGTCTACAAAGAACCCCCATGATTGTAGTTTTGACACTGCTTCCCATATTAAGATGTAGAGTTCTGAACCCTTAACGCCACAAGTTGGGAAATGAGCAATTGGAAATCTGAAACCTGTATTTCCAAGGAATGTCAGTTGTAAAACATCTGTAGCAAGACTTTGTTGAACTCCCCCTTCTCGAAGGATATTGATACACTGTGCCTCCTCGCCTGTATCAATCCAACCTACCAGTTCATTACTTTTCCCCTTCACATGGATGACCAAATCTTGTTGGATTTTTGCCTCATCATGGATGATCCCTCCATAATAGCCACTTGAGGGTACATTGTTTGCTTGGGCAGTATTGTACATCCATTGTAGGGATTCATCATTAATGCCTGGTCTTTGTGGCACACTGTTTTTCAGCCTCCTTAGATGTCGGCCTGAAGGCAACTGAAAAACTTGACAATCTCTTAAATCTTCATAGGCTTTGGCTCCTTTACACCATAAGTTTAAACATAGTCTTAATGTAAACTTATCCCATCTCACAAGACAGGTATGGCTTAAATTGGAGCTTAGAATAGTGTGTTGAGTTTGTAAAAAATGTTTCATTTCAGTAGATGCGTTAGGGAAAATATTCT